AGGTAACACAATGGCACTAAATTCACATCTTTCAATAATCACTCTGAATGTTAATGGACTAAATGCCCTAATCAAAAGACCTAAGGTTTCAGAATGAATAAAAAAACAAGATCCATCTATATGCAGCTTACAAGAGACTTATTTTCGACCTAAAGACACCTGCAGATTGAAAGTGAGGGGATGGAAAATCATCTATCATGCTAATGGACATCAAAGGAAAGCCAGCATAGCCATAATTAGACAAACTACATTTTAAAACAAAGACTGTAACAAGAGATGAAGAAGGGCATTATATCATAATTAAGGAGTCTATCCATCAAGAGCAGCTAACAATTGTAACTATACCCACAATTTGAAAGCACTCAAATATATAAATCAATTAATAACAAACTCATTGATAATGACACAGTAATAGCAGGGGACTTTAACATCCCACTTACAACAAAGGGCAGATCACCTAAACAAGGAAGATCATCAACAAGAAAACAATGGCTTTGGTGTTGTTGTTGTTTTTTTTAATTACAATTTTTTTTTTAATGCTTATTTATTTTTGAGAGAGAGAGAGCGAGAGAGAGCAAGCACACACACGCGAACTGGGGAAGGGCAGAGACAGAGGGAGACACAGAATCCAGAGCAGGATCCAGGCTCTGAGCTGTCAGCACAGAGCCCAGTGAGGGGCTCAAACTCCCGAACTGCAAGATCATAACCCGAGCCAATGTCAGATGCCCAACTGACTGAGCCACCCAGATGCCCAATGTAAACAATAGCTTTAAATGACACATTACACCAATGGGCTTAACAAACATATTCAGAACATTTCATCCTAAAGCAGCAGAATACACATTCTTCTCAAGTGCACATGGAACATTCTACAGAACAGATTACATTCTGGGTCACAAATCAGCCCTCAACAAATATAAAAAGATCAAGATCATACCATGCATATTTTCAAATCACAATGCAATGACTTGTAATTAAACACAAGAAAAAATTTGGAAAGCCCTCAAATACATGGAGGTTAAAGGGTATCCTACCAAAGAACGAATGGGTTACCAGGAAATTAAAGAATAAAAAAATAATGGAAGCAAACAGAAATGAAAATATGACAGTCCAAACTCTTTGGGATGTAGCAAAGGCAGTGCTAAGAGGAACGTATATTACAATTGAGGCCTATCTCAAGAAGCAAGAAAGATCCCAAATCTTGCACCCAAGCAAGAAAGGTGCCCAAAGATCTGGCACCTAAAGGAGCCAGAAAAGGAGCATAGAAAGCCTAAAGCCAGCAGAAGGGAAATAATAAAGACTACAGCAGAAGTAAACAATCTAGAAACAGCAACAACAACAAAAACAGTAGAACAGATCAACAAAACCAAGAGCTGGTTCTTTAAAAGAATAAACAGAATTGATAAACCTTTAGCCAGATTTATCAAAAAGAGAAAGGATCCAAATAGATAAAATCACAAAGGAAAGAGGAGATATTGTACAGAAATACAAATTAAGAGAGAATACTATGAAAAATTATATGCCAGCAAACTGGGCAATCTGGAAGAAATGGACAAAATCCTAGAAACGTGCAAAGTACCAAAACTGAAAAAAGAAGAAATAGAAAATCTGAAGAGACCTGTAACCAGCAAAGAAATTCAATCAGTAATCAAAAATCTCCCAACAAATATAAAACCTCCTAGAGTCCTGGGCCAGATGGCTTCCCAGGGGAATTCTACCAGACATTTAAAGAAGATTTAATACCTATTCTCAAACTGTTCCAAAAAAAATAGAAATGGAAGGAAAGCTTCCAAACTCATTCTATGAAGCCAGCATTACCTTGATTCCAAAACCAAAGACCCCACTAAAAAGAATTATAGGCCAATATCCCTGATGAACCTGGATGCAAAAATTCTCAACAAGATACCAGCAAAGTGAATTCAACAGTACGTTAAAAGAATTATTCACCATGATCAAGTAGGATTTATTCCTGGGCTGCAGGGCTGGTTCCATATTCACAAATCAGTCAATGTTACACACCACATTAATAAAAGAATAGATAAAAACCATATGATCCTGTCAATAGATGGAGAAAAAGCATCTGAAAAATACAGCATCCATTCTTGACAAAAACCCTCAACAAAGTAGGGACAGATAGAAAATACCTCAACATCATCAAGACCATATATGAAAGACACACAGCTAATATCTTCCTTAACAGGGAAAGACTGAGAGCATTTCCCTCATGGTTAGGAACAAAGCATTTCCCTTATGGTTAGGAACAAAATAAAGATGCCCACTCTCACCACTACTATTTAAGACTGCAAGTCTTAGCCTTAGCAATCAGGCAACAAAAAGAAATAAAGGGCATACAAATTGGCAAGAAAAAAGTCAAACTTTCAGTATTTGCAGATGACATGATAGTCTCTGTGGAAAACCCAAAAGACTCCACCAAAGAATTGCTACAACTAATGCATGAATTCAGCAAAGTCGCAGGATATAAAAACAATGTTCGGAAATCTGGTGCATTTCGAACAATAACGAAGCAGCAGAAAAAGATATCAAGGAATTGATTCCATTTATAATCGCCCCCAAAACAATAAGATACCTAGGAATAAACCTAATTAAAGAGGTAAAAGATCTGTATTCTGAAAACTACAGAAGACATGAAAGAAGTTGAAGAGGACACAACGAAATGGAAAAACATTCCTTGCTCATGGATTGGAAGAACAAACATTGTTGAAATGTCTATACTGCCCAAAGCAATCTATACACTTAATGGAATCCCTATCAAAATATCACCAGCATTCTTCGCAGAGCTAAAACAATCCTAAAATTTGTACAGAACCACAACATACCCCAAATAGCCAAAGCAATCCTGAAAAAGAAAAACAAAACTGGAGGAATGACAAGTCTGGATTTCAAGCTATCTTACAAAGCTGAGGTCATAAAGAGAGTATGCTATTGGCACAAAAACAGACATATAGATCAATGGAACAGAATAGACAACCCAGAAATTGACCCACAACTATATGGTCAACAAATCTTTGACAAAGCAGGAAAGACTATCCAATGGAAAAAAGGTCTCTTCAACAAATGGTGTTGGGAAAACTGGATGGCAACATGCAGAAAAATTGGAACACTTTCTTACACCAGACACATTTAAAATGTATGAAAGAGCTAAATGTGAGACAGGAAACCATCAAAATCCTACAGTAGAACACAGGTAGCAACCTCTTTAACCTCTGCTAGAGCAACTTTTTAGTGCACATGTTGCCAAAGGCAAGGGAAACAAAAGCAAACATGAACTACTGGGACCTCATCAAGATCTTCTCTGCACAGAGAAGGAGACAATCAACAAAACTCAAAGACAGCCTACACAATGGGAAAAGATATTTGTAAATAACATATATGATAAAGGGTTAGTATCCAAAATCTATAAAGAACTTATCAAATTCAACACCCAAAAAACAACCAACCAGTAAAGAAATGAAAAGACGTCATGAATAGACATTTTTCCAAAGAAGATATCCACGGGCCAACAGACACATGAAAAGATGCTGAACATCACTCATTATCAGGGAAACACAAATCAAAACCACAATGAGATACCACCTGGCACCTGTCAGAGTGGCTAAAATTAACACAAGAGACAACAGGTGTTAGTGAGGATGCAGTGAAAGAGCAACCCTCTTGCACTGTTGATGGGAACACAAACTGGTGCAGCCACTCTGGAGAACAGTATGGTGGTTCCTCAAATAGTTAAAAATAGAATTACCCTATGATCCAGCAATTGCACTAGGTATTTACCTGAAGGATACAAAAATACAGATTGAAAGGGGTACATGCACCCTGATGTTTATAGCAGCATTATCAACAATACCCAAACTATGGAGAGAGCCCACATGTCCATCAACTGATGAGTGGATAAAAAAGATGTGGTGTGTATACATAGACACACACACACACACCCAGGAGTATCAGGCATCAAAAAGAATGAAATCTTGCCATTTGTAATGACATGAATGGAGCTAGAATGTATTATACTAAGCAAACTAAGTCAAACAGCAAAGTCAAATACCATAATTTCATTCATATGTGGAATTTAAGAAACAAAACAGGTGAATATATGGGAAGACAGGGAGGAGAAAAGAGGGAATCAAATCATAAGAGACTCTTAACGATAGAGAACAAACAGAGTTGATGGAGGGAGGTGGGTGGGAGATGGGCTAGATGGGTGATGGGTACTAAGGACAGCACTTGTGATGAGCACTGGGTGTTATAAGTAAGTAAGGAATTACTGAATTCTATTCCTGAAACCAATATTGCACTGTATATTAACTAAGATTTGAATTAGAAAAAAGAAAAATAAAGTATAAGGAAACACTTTTTTTCTTTCCTTTATGTAGAAGTCTGAAATATTCCAAGTTTCATAATTATATTGTAGTTCCAAGCACATCAGTATCCAGTGTGCACTCCTTTATACAAAAACAGCTTTTCTTCTGCTGTTACCTGTTAAGTCACCTTGTAGAAAGATCAAAGTGTGCCTAACACTGACGAATACTGCTTAAAATTCAGCTATGGCTATGGATGGGGCCTCTTATTAGTTTGAAAAGGATCATTTTTTTTTATTTTTATCACTGTTGCTTAGAAAGACCATATATTGATCTGTTGCATATTAAATAGAATATATAGATTAAAGGCACAAATTACAATATATTATAAGAAGACTATTCTCCAATGACCCAGCCTTTCTAATAAAAATGTCCTTAAATGTTACAGTCACAGGACCTAAAAACAGCTCAGCTTTGCTATAAACATCCAGCAGGTAGACAAGACACTTGGGTATAGATAAAGGTTTTGTGAAATTGCTTTCTGAGGCTCAAATGAGCTCAGGAAAGAAAAAAAAAAAAAAACAAAAAACTGTGCAGTGTCAGCACCATAGAGCTCTGATACCCTTCAAGGAGGTTTCCCTATCACAAAATCCACCACACTCAGAGCAGAAATGATCCATATATTACCTTCAACTGTTCTAAGGCAAAAGATGAACCATCTTGCTGTAAATTTTCAATAATCTGTTCCACAGTATTGGCTGAGAAGCAACTATAAAAAAGGAAACACATGATTTCACCAATCTGCAAGCAATTTCTTCTTTCCAAAATAGCAATGAATATAAACACAGGCTTTCCCCAAACTGCATTTCAATAATGAAAAAATTTCCAAGATACTTTACAGGATGATGAAATAAAACACTGCTTCTCTGGGTGTTTGCAGTCTGCTTTCATTAATTCAACACAAAGCCAAATTTTTCTTTTTTTTGCTTTCTTGCGTCTATTATATGTAAATAAATATTGTAACTGTGAAAAACTGATGCTTCTAAAATTAGAGGTAGATGTCTTATTTTCCAGTAATTTTCTTCCTCTTATGTTCCTTAAGCCAGTCTGTCAATCTCTCAAATCACTGCACAAAAAAATTCTTGGCTGATCAGCTTCATAAGAACTCTGTAAAAAATGACTTTACAGGGGCGCCTGGGTGGCGCAGTCGGTTAAGCGTCCGACTTCAGCCAGGTCACGATCTCGCGGTCCCTGAGTTCGAGCCCCGCGTCAGGCTCTGGGCCGATGGCTCGGAGCCTGGAGCCTGTTTCCGATTCTGTGTCTCCCTCTCTCTCTCTGCCCCTCCCCCGTTCATGCTCTGTCTCTCTCTGTTCCAAAAATAAATAAACGTTGAAAAAAAAAATTTTTAAAAAATGACTTTACAAAAATAAAAGATAATTCAATTGTTATTTTCTAGCCTCTTCCCCATTAAAAAAAGATGTTTTGCACTAAAATGAATCAGCATGATAAAGTATATGGATTTAATCCCTCTGAAAGAGTAAGCAAGAAGCTACTTTAAAAAGTGAAAATAAAAGCACTATGCTATCTAATCTCAGAATTCAGTGCATTTCCAAACACAATGTAATAATGTTAGCAAATTCAATTTAATACAGTCCTTCCAAAAGAACAAATATACTAAGACCTCTCTTTAAGTACCTGTTTATTTTGTCCATGTGTTCCTCAAGTATAAAAGACTTGTCTTGATCAATCTTGGACTGTTTGGGGAAAAAAAATCTCATAATTAACTTGAAGTAACCCAAATCTTCTAAAAGTCCTTTAAAATGTCATCAAATTTAATAAGACACTTTGAGTCAAATTATCACTTTCAGTCAAATTATATCCAACAAGCTCATAAATAACTAAAAATCCAGACTGTATTTTTCCAGAGTAGGCCTTAAAAGTGTGAACGGCAAAATATGTTCTTGTATTTTTATGTAGAATTCATTATATATGCTACATCATTAAAATATGTCAATGAATTAAGCATTTTAAGGGACCTGAGAAATCATCCTGTCCAAATTTCCATTTGGTATGGAAATTCCTACAACATGACTGTTATCTCTGTAGCGCTGACCTCCAGGGACAGAAAACAGTACCTCAGGAAGGAACTCACAAATGACTGAACAATTAGGATTTTTTTTTTTTTATTCTGGACCAAACTAGTCCTTTCCTGTTTATAGTGCTAGTTAATCCTACTTCCACCTCTCTTCTGACACAGAACAGTTTTGTGTTCCCTCACAAACCAGGTCCAGTCCTTCTACATTAGCTACAGGTATGACTGGGTCACAGCAAAGTATAGCAGGGCTCCACATATCTTTGTTTGTTCTGGGTACAACACTTTTACTAATAAGACTAAGCCTGAGTTAGTTTTCAGGCAGTTCTATTATGCTGCTATTTTTTTTTTTTTTAAACCAGTCCCATTGTAGGCTACATTTCTCCCGTGCTATACTTTATAAATTTGGTACTTTGGATTGAAATTCAAAATTTTCACTTATCTCTATTGTGATCCTGTGATTTAAAATAAGAAATACAAGGGCAACCAGCTGGCTCAGTCAGTAGAGCAAGTGACTCTTGATTTTGGAGTTGTGGGTTTGAGCCCTAACTTGGAGGTAGAGACTACTTAAAAATAAAATCTTAAAAAAATATAAAAAAATACATATTTAGTCTTTGCCCATACATTTGTTCTTTGTTGCTGGCTCTTAGCTCCCCCAAACCTTGGAATTTCTCTAAACAGGGCATCGTTTTGTAGTATTTGGTCTTTTGTCCTGGGTTCCTAAAATAAAGGTGAAATGGGTCTTTTGTTATTCATAACAAGCCCCTTCCAACCACACTAGAGTTCAAGTTAATGAGGGGACTTTTGGAAAAGAAAGGGCTGACTTCCAGGGAAACCAACCAGTGATTAGAGGGTGAGACTGAAAGTCCCTCCCCCACACTAGTACCACCTCCCCACTTCCCTCCATCTCCAGTGAGGGGAAAGAGGTTGTGGACTGAGTTCAGTCACCAATGGCCAATAGTTTAATCAACAGTGAGTACGTAATAAAGCCTCCATAAAAATCCAATAGGATGGAGAGCTTCCAGGTTAGTGAACACATCTCCAAGTGGGCAGAGTGGTACACCCCAACCTCACTGGGACAGAAGCTCCTGGGCTTGAGACCCTTCTAGACCTTGCCCTGTGTACCATTTACTGGACTATTCATTCGTATCTTTTACTGTATCCTTTATAATAAACCAAAAACACTGTTTCCCTGAGTTCTATGAGAAATTCTGGCAAATTATCAAACCCAAGGAAGGGGTCATGAGAACCCCAATTTATGGCCAACCAGTCAGAAGTGACAAGTTGGGACTTGTGACTGGCATCTGAAATGGGGTCGGTTTTGTGGGACTGAGACATTAGGGTGTGGTATCTGATGCTAACTCCAGGTAGACAGCATTAGGATTAAAACTGGGGCGCCTGGGTGGCGCAGTCGGTTAAGCGTCCGACTTCAGCCAGGTCACGATCTCGCGGTCTGTGGGTTCGAGCCCCGCGTCAGGCTCTGGGCTGATGGCTCGGAGCCTGGAGCCTGTTTCCGATTCTGTGTCTCCCTCTCTCTCTGCCCCTCCCCCGTTCATGCTCTGTCTCTCTCTGTCCCAAAAATAAATAAACGTTGAAAAAAAAAAAAAACAAAAAACTGACTACTGGACATCCATCTGGTGTTGCAGAGAATTGCTTGATGTGTGCACACACATTTGGTGTCAAAAGTGTTATGAGTGTGGTAGTAGTGGGAGAGTAAAGGAAAACACAGGGAGTGATTTTTTAATCCATATTCTTTCACCTAATTTTTTTTCTTAGTTTCAAGTCAATTTGATCAAAATGCTGTCAACAGTCTCATCCAATTCACTGAGAAAAATTCTAAAAAACTGAAAAAGGCCAACATGACTTTATTTATAGACTAATACCCTCAAATTTAACAGAACTGTTTGATAAGGCCCTTCAACTCCCACACACTATAATTCATGCTATATTTACCCAACATGAGAGACTGTCAAATGCTTTGACAAAAATCTGGTGAAATCCTCATGTGCTCTGTGTTCACAGTCATAGCACTGAACATTCAGGGGCTCTGTGAATCCATATTCATGTTCTTGAGTTCTGGATAAAATTCTTATACTATTTTTCTAAAGATTTCCTCCCCTCTCACTTCTCTGTTATGAATTCCTAATAATAAGATATTAGACCTCCTGGAATAATACCTCTAATCTTCCTTTCTCTTCATTTTCCATGTTATTAACCTTTCTGTCTTGTTACAGTTTTCTTCCACCTTCAATTTTAATCTAATCTGTTGTGGGGTTTTTCCTTTTTGTTAATCACACTTCTCTTTTATTCTTTGACTACTTTATTTTATTGCTTTAATTTTTAATTTTTATTTTTGAGAGAGAGAGAGAGCATGAGTGGGGGAGCGGCAGAAAGTGGGAGACAAAGAATCTGAAGCAGGCCCCAGGCTCTGAGCTGTCAGCACAGAGCCTAATGTGGGGCTCGAACTCTCAAACCACAAGACCATGACCTGCTCAATCAACTGAGACACCCAGACGTCCCTGAATACTTTACTTTATAACTTCTGTTCTTATTTCACAGATGAAATATTTTCCTCTTATCAGAACCATAAAAGTTTTAACAGTTATAGTTTTTCTTCCTTTCCTTCCTCCCTCTTTCTCTTTCTCCTCCCTGCATTGTCTGCTTGTTTCAAGTGCCTTCTTTGTTTTTACACTTAGCATAAAAAATTTTAGTGTGAAGTATTACAATTAAATAGCTTTATGTGTAAAGTCAATCGTAGTTATAGGATTATCAATTGTCGGAAGCATTACAGATATCAGGCAAAGACCTGGATGTTTCCTGGAGGCTGAGGGGGGGGCGGCGGTGGGGACAGTCCTCAAGTGGCAACATCTATAGTTTTTTTTCTTTTTCTTCCAATGTACTGCTTGGAAGTGGGATGGTGCCATTGACCGAATGTTTGTGTCACCCCAAAATTCATGCTGAAACTTTAATCCCCAAAGTGATGGTATTTGGAGATGGTGCCTTTGGGAGATAATTAGGTCAAGAGGGTGGAGCCCTCATGATGGGATTAGGATCCTTATAAGAAGAGACCTGAGAGAGTTCACTTTGCTGTGTAAGGACACAGCAAGAAGGAGGTCATCTGCAAACCAGGAAGAGGGTCCTCACCAAGAATTTAACTGACACCAAATCTTTGGAATTTCCAGCCTCCAGAACTGTGAGAAATAAGTTTCTATTGTTTAAGCCATCAAACTTAATGGTGTTTTTATTATAGCTGCCCAAACTAAGATAGAGGATATTTAATAGTCTGGAAGCTAACTAGAAGAAGAGGCTAGGGGTATTCCTATTCACTATGTTATGCCTCTTTTTTTTTTTTTTTTTTTTTTTTTTGGGAAGAACCTGCTCCTTTCCCTCAGTCAGCAAGGTCTGTTTGATTTGATCTAAGGAGTAAATTTCCAATCTTCCTTCAGTCAGGCTATGAAAGGTTAGTTGCTGCTACAGGAGGAAGACTTGTGGAGGCCTAACTGCTCCTTATAAAAATTTGAAGGGATCCTCTTGTTTTTTCTGTCCATCTCCACACCCCAGTCTTCAGAGGACCCTGGTACCTTACAGAGCATACACAGCAAGAACTGGCTTGCTTCTTACTGCCTTCCCCCACTGAAAGACTTCAGTGTTCTCAAATCTAAAGTAGCTGCCACCTAGGGGCGCCTGGGTGGCTCAGTCAGTTAAGCGTCTGACTTCAGCTCAGGTCATGATCTTGCGGTTTGTGAGTTCGAGCCCCGCATCGGGCTCTGTCCTGACAGCTCAGAGCCTGGAGCCTGTTTCAGATTCTGTGTCTCCCTCTCTCTCTGCCCCTCCCCCGTCCACGTTCTCTGTCTCAAAAATAAATAAATGTTAAATAAATAAATAAATAAATTTAAAGTAGCTGCCCTCATCCTTCTGTTTTCAGCCTTCCAAAATATTGACATCTCATGCCTGCCACTTTCTCCTTTTCTGTTCTTTGTGGATTTGCACCTTTTTTATTCCTTCATTACAATTAAGTGGGGTTTTAGAAGGGAGCATGTATTCAACCCATCAAGTTTAATAAAAAGTCATATAACATTTTTAGAGAGTTTTAGCTCTTAAAAGAAAGTTAAATAACATAAGTAAGGAATTACAAGTGACACTGTGATATATTTTATTATTATATTTAGATATGTACCAGAGTTTCACTTTAGCAGCTCAACAGGGTCAACACTGAACCATCCATTACAGACATGTCACAGTGTACTGTAAAAAGCCCTTGCAAGGGCCAATCACAAGGTTATGCACTGATATTCACCAGCAATGAGAAGATAAGCTGTGCAGTTGTGCAGCAAAGAAGTTGTCTTCTCAGATGACTATCCTAACAATTGTGAAGCAGTGATCCTTCCATCAAGCTTTAAAGAAAATTAATCTCAGCATATTTATATCCACCAACTGCTAATTGTTCAATCACTCCCTCTTCCCCATGAATTAAAATCTGAAGTTAGAATACTGAAAGATTACCTTTGTATGGTAAGCTTCTAAGACATCCGCAATATTTTCTTTTGAAGGTGATTTTAGGGCTATCAAATCTTCTTCTAACATGCCCAACTAAAAGAGGAAAAAAAAAAAAGAAAGAAAACACTTGAAACCCAAAAGAAACATTTTTTTTTTTTTTAGAAACCTTATATTCTTTTTAAAAATACTTGTCTTAAAATTATGATGTGCTCTCTTCAGCTGAATCAGTGAAGTAAACTTTCTCTGAAGTTGAATGCACACACATTCCCACACAGCACATACCTTGCAAGGAACTGGATAAAGATGGAAGAAAATAAAGAGGAGAAAGAGAGACATTCATCTTTGTTTCTCTCTGGCTATTAGACACTTGAAATGTAGTATTGCAACCAAAGATCTGAATTACAAATTTTAACTAAAATTGCCACATGTGACTAATGGCTACTATAGTCAATGCACAGCTATACCATACAGCCACACTTAACTCTCCATCTATATCCCTCACATACCTGTTCTAAGCTCAACAAATGGGACTTTTTATTGTTTCCAAAACATACCAAATGCTTTCCTGCCCATGAGCTTGCTCATTACATATTTTCTCTATCCAGAATGCCTTTCCTGACAAAACTCATCTTAAGGCTTAGCTGAACTGCAACCTCTGTGGGAAAACTTCCAGTCCCTTCTTATAAGTAAGTTTTCCCTCCTTTCAATCCACTGAGTACTTTCTCTGTATGACAGAGAAGGGAATAGGTTGTGCATTAGCACTGTCTCCCATCCTTAACTAAATTCCGCTCTATTCAAGATTGTTCCTCCAGAAGAGATAATGGACTCCTATGTTTGCTTCCTATTACACCTAAAGAGAAGAATGGGACCGCCCCCTACTCAATGTGACTGTGGATGCCCAAAACATGGAGAAAGATCTGAAACTTCAAGCAAATGTGATAGAAGGCCCTCCTAACAGTGTACAGGAAACAATTTTCAACTTTGTGTACTTTATTTTTTTTTTTCTTAATGTTTATTTATTTTTGAGAGAGACAGAGACAGAATGCGAGTGGGTTAGGGGCAGAGAGAGAGGGAGACACAGAATCCGAAGCACACTCCAGGCTCTGAGCTGTCAGCACAGAGCCCGACGCAGGGCTCAAACTCACGGACTGCGAGATCATGACCTGAGCCAAAGTTGGACACTCAACTGACTGAGCCACCCAGATGCCCCTGTACTTTGTACTTTTTTATAATATTCCTTCTCCTATCCCAAAACATCTCCTTCAAGATCAGATATTCATTTAGAGACCTATGTGCATCCTGGAAAGCTAAGTTCACCCCATAGTTCCAGAAATGGAACACATTAATGGAGCACATTAGCAAGGTGGGCTAGTTGATACAGGCTAACCCACTTTCGGGTTCAAGGGTGATATAAGCCAGTTCAATGAGAGTGAGCTAAGCCAGTTGAAGCAGAATAAATCCCAAATCTCTTACTGGGAATTCTGAGGCAAAACCACATTGAATTGGATTTTCTCTTACATTTACCACAAAGAGATTTAACTACTATGGTAGAAACTGCCATCCCCATTTGGAAATGAGAAAACTGGGTGATAAAGAAGCTAAATTCAACCTAGGATTTAAACTCAAGCTGTCTGTCTGCAGTTCTTTCCCACTATGCTATACTGTGCTAAGAAAATTGGCCACATTGTTAAAAAGAAGAGACAGATAAGCAACATGTGTCCCTTGCAACAGATACCCTTTAGAAAAGTTTTTAAGACTATTTTACAAATGGAACCCTTAAATGCACTGGTAAGGAAACTCACAATTGAGAAGACCTTTCAAAAATGTTTTTATAAAAGCCTATCTTTTTATATATACATTTAAATCTTTATATATTAGGTTTTCTTAAAGAAGGTGTGAGGTTTTTTTGACCAAAGTGTAAATATTCATTAAAAATTAGGCACTGAAGGTGTCAGGCAAAACAGCCCTGAATCCAGATATAATTCTCTCCATTTTGCACATAAGGAAACATGATTGGAGAGCTTAAATACTGTCTCAAAGGTCACACAGCTTTAAGCGGCAGATCCTGGATTCAGACCCATGTCTAACCAAAAGCCTGTGATCTCAACCACTCATAATGCCTCCATGTACAATAGGAATTATTCTAACAACACAAAATGCAATCATCCAAGCAATTACCTTTTCAGAATCCACAAAATGTGTCGCAATTCCTGCTGCATACACATCTCTTCCTTTCAGTCTGAATCCTGTTAATGCAAGGAAGTAACCAAGTTTTCCTTGAAGTCGTGGCAAGAAATAACCTCCACCCACATCAGGGAAGAGTCCTGTAATAAAATAATGGAAAGAGATATCGACTCAAATGAAAAAAAAGAATGTAACTCTTTGAGATCAGATGGCCATCTCTCTCCGGAATTTGAATCTATACTAAAAATATTACTAAACTAAGTACTATCCAATGCAATCAAAATCACAAAAGACTTGCTATTAAATTGTGCTAACTTGAGGTTTTTTTCAAAATTTTCACATCTTCCTGCCATACAAGTCAAAGTATTTGACAGCATAATTTTCTATATATAAGTAGTACTCAATAAATACTACCTAAAGTTTCCTATTTTTGATCATCTCTGAAATAGTAAAAACCGAAAGAATACTTTCTTTCCAAATGATAAGAAAAAATATGCATAATCCAATATTATGTGAAAATTCATTATCATTTAAGTCATAGTCTATTCCATTAGTCAATGATATAATATTCAAGATATTTAAAGTGATGCCATAACCTTTAGTCCTACGAAGAACAAGTTTACACCTAACAAAATCACTTGCATTAACTCTTTTCTTAGCCATCTTTTTTTAATTCCCTTATTAAAAATTCCTTATTAAAAATGACTGAAAGTAGCATATGCAAATATTTGCCAGTACTTTTTGGTATTTAAGAGCTCCTTAAATAACTGTGACCCTCTTGTTTTATAATCCATGTATCTATTCTAAGATTGCTTCATTTATTCAAGTTGAGACTAGAACACAGGCATTCAAATTCTTCCCAATTCTACTTGACAAAAAAGTTCTTAGACTTGAAAGAATTACCATTCTACTCTAAATATCTCTTAGCATCTCAAATAAAAAAGGTCTAAAAGGGAATTCATGAGTTCCCCCAACTGCCATCATCTCCCTTCCAATATCACTCACCTCAATAAAGCAAGCACACAGCCATCCAGCCTGGACACCTTCTTCTCATAACCACCCCTTTAGCACCCACCAGTGACTATGACCTATTGATTCCTCCTCCAGAAAGTTCTCCCTACAATGAATGGCCAGAGTGATTTTTTTTTAATTTTTTAATGTTTATTTATTTTTGAGAGAGAGAGAGAGAGAGAGAGAGAGAAAGACAGAGTGCAAGCAGGGAAGGGGCAGAGAGATAGGGAGACACAGAATCTGAAACAGGCTCCAGGCTCTGAGCTGTCAGCACAGAGCCTGATGTGGGGCCCGAACCCACAACTGTGAGATCATGACCTGAGCTGAAGTCAGATGCCCAACTAACACCCAAGCACCCCACCAGAGTGATCTTTTTAATTACACAAATCATGATCATGTTTTGCCTTCTACTGCTTAAAACTCTTCCATAACTCTTCCAGAAAGTCTATCCCTCTTAGATTAAAACTAACACTTTCAAAGTCTTCAAGGCACCCAACCACTTTTTCAAATACATCTCTTACTATACTCACTCACTACATTCCAGCCACTCTGTTCTTCTTTCAGTTCCCCAACATTCTATACTCTACATACATTCTACACCATATACTACCTTCCCCACAGCCTCAGCAGCACTCTTCACAAGTGAAAAAATACTTTGTCCTGAAGTACTTTCCTCTGCTCCAGGGTAACACATTCTCTCTTTTTGCCCCTGCCTCAGTGGCTGCTTCTTTCCATCCCCTACTGCCGGGTCCACTTCCCTTGCTTGACCTCTACATGCTGCTATGCCTAGGCTTGACCTTAGGCTATCCCTACCTCCCTACACACGTATTTCTTCAGCACTTTTGGCTCTAGATAACATCTGTATGCTCTTAAGTCCCTGTTATGGACTGAACTGTGTCCCCCACAAAATTTTTAAACTGGTTATGAGAAGAAGGTGTCCAGGCTGGATGGCTGTGTGCTTGCTTTATTGAGGTGAGTGATATTGGAAGGGACAATTTGGATATAGGCCCTCTAAAAAGATAAAGTTAAATGAGGTTATAATGCTAGGCCCTAATCCAGTACAACTGATTTTTATAAGAAGACAACAGCACTAGAAGCACAGACACACAGGAAAGGCCATGTGAGGACACAGCAAGAAGGCAGCTATCCAGAAGCCAAGGAGAGAAGCCTCAGGTGAAACCAAACCTTCCAATACGTTGGTCTTAGACTTCCAGCCTCCAGAACTGTGAAAAGTAAATGTTGTTTACATCACCAGTCTGTAGTATTGTTACTGCAGCCCTAACAGACCAATACGCTTCCAAATCTATATATCTAACTTATGCCTTTTCCCTTGAATAGGAAACTCTTTAGATCTGCATTCTAGACACAAGCACATGGATAATAAGCACCTCAAATATAACATGGCAAAAACACAATATGATTCCCAAACCCTCTAACTACATGGCTCCTTCCCTAATCAGCCTCATCCATCCAGCCACACAAGCTAAACACCTTGGAATTATTCCTGATTCATCACATGAGTAAGCCAGTTCACTCCAAAACATTTTTCAAATCTATTTTATTCCAACATATAGTTCCATACTACCCCAAGCCAAAATCACCCTCTTCTAGACCTGTGCTATCCAAAAGAATTTTCTGTGATGATGAAAATGTTCTATAATCTATGCTATCCAATATGGTAGGCACTAGACAGAATGTGGCTATTAAACACTTGAGATGTGGCTGGTGTGACTAATGAACTAAATTTATTTTAATTTAATTTATATTTAAATAGCCATATGCGGCCAGTAGCTATAATATTATACAGCATAGCTCTAGATTAATATAATGACCTCCTAACAAGTCTCCTTGCTACTGCTCTTGTAACCCTATAATCCATTATCCTTAAAGTAGAATGATGGTATTAAAATGTAAATCAGACAAAGGGAGTTATGGTGGAGAAGTGGAGTGACTGGGATTTTCCTCATCCCTCCATCACAGCTGTACTAAGGTCAGATCACTTGGAACACCCAGGAAGTGGATCTGCAGAGTGGCAGAAGGATCTCCACAGTTGGAGGGAGACAGCTTGGCAGGATTGAGGTGCCTGTATGTGAATTGGGGGAGATAAAATGGCAGAGGCACAGAAGGGAGGGAAACCCTTTATGCAAAGACAAAAGGGAGAGAGAAGGGGGTTGTAAAAGTCAGCACAGAGGAAGGAATGGAAGAAAGAGTAATTGTTAAAACAATTATGGTTCAGATAAGAAGAAAATATTTCATCTGTGAAATAAGAACAGTGGTTATAAAGTAAAGTAGTCAGGGGCACCTGGGTGGCTCGTCGGTTGAGTGTCCAACTTCAGCTCAGGTCATGATCACACCATTCCCGAGTTCAAGCTCTGTGTTGGGCTCCTTGCTAACAGCTCAGAGCCTGAAGCCTGCTTCAGATTCTGTGTCTCCCTCCCTCTCTGCCCCTCTCCTGCCCATGCTCTCTCTCTCAAAAATAAACATTAAAAAATTTTTTTTAATGTCTAGAATCCAATAAAAAAAAATACAAGACACTGGGGTGCCTGGGTAACTCAAATGGTTAAGCAGTCGACTCTTGGTTTTGGTTCAAGTCATGATCTCACAGTTCATGAGTTTGAGTCCCAAATAGGGCTCCACTTGGGATTCTCTCTCTCCCCCTCTCTCTGCCCCTCCCCTGGCATGCACGTGTGCTTTCTCTCTCTCTCTCAATATAAATAAACTTAAAGAGAATTGCAAGGCATTTAAAAAAGCAGGAAAATACTACCCATGAGGTGATAAAACAATCAAAATTGACACAGAATTGACATAATAAACATAAGAATTAGCAAACAAGAACATTAACACAGAATAAGTATATCTTATAGGTTCAAAAAGTTAAGTAGAAACAGAAGATATAAAAAAGACATAAATGATACCTACAGAGATAAAAACCAAGATGAATGTATAAATAGAAAAATATCTGAATGGGAATTAAAGCAAATTACACTTAGTAAAAGATTAGTGAACTTGAAGACATAGGAATAGAAACTATTTAAATGAAAAAATGAAAAGCTTTCAAAGTAAACAATACGTTAATGAGTTTAATATAAGTTTAGATGGAGTTCCTGTAAAGGGAGTGGGGGAAAGAAAAATACTTGAAGAAATAATGTCAACTTTGGAAAATTCAACAAAAACTATAAATCTAAGCTCAAGAAACACAAGCATAAGATGAAAAATACACCACAGCACATTATAATCATTTAGTCCCAAACAAATGATAAGTAGAAAATCTTAAGAGCAGCCAGAGATAATAAAAGCACACTTACAGAAGAACAAAGATGAGGAAAGCAGATTTCTCATGGGAAACATAAACAAGACAGCAATGCAACAACATCTTTAAAGTACTGAAATTTAAAAATCAGAATAGAATAAAATTGTATCCCAGGAGTCAAATCGCTGGCTTCAGCTTTCACCTTAGGAGATTAGAGAAAGAAGAGATGAAACCCAAAGGAGTAAAAGAAAGAAAATAGGATAAGATCAGAAAACAAGAAAATAGAAAATGAAATAAAAAAGATGATTTCTGAGACCAATAAATAAATCTCTAATTAGAATGATCAGAAAAAAAATGAGAAGACACAAATTACTAATATCAAGCACTATAAAGTCTACAAAATACTAAAAAGGTAAGGGAATGTTATAAAAAACTTTATGCTCATAAACTGGACAAATTCCTTCCAAGATCCACTGTACTAAAGCTTTTGCAAGAAATAGATAATCTGAATAGCCCTACATCTATTAAATACTTTGAAACTGCAGTCAAAAATCTCACAGAGAAAAATTCAGGCCTCAATGACTTCACTGATGAATTCTACCAAAGATAGAAAAAAATTATACTAATTCTACATAAACTCTTTGAGAAAATGAGGCCAGCATTATCCTCATACTAAAACAAAACAAGGACATTACACGAAAATCACAGACCAATGTCTTTCATGAACAGAGATGTAAAAATTCCAAATAAAATTTTAGTATACCAAACCTAAAAACATATAAAAAGTATAACACATCATATCAGACTGAGATTTATCCTAGTGATGCAGGGTTAGTTTAATGAAAAACCAATCAAAGTAATTCACCACTAACAAACTAAAAAGGAAAAATCAATAATCATCTCAACTAATGCAGAAAAAGTTTTGGCTTTAGAGATCCAAAATCCATTCCTAATAAAAACCCTCAGCAATTTAGGAATTGCTGATAAAGGACACCTGATAAAGGGCACCTAATGAAAAACTTATACCTAACCTCCTACTTGAAGGACTGGATGTTTTCCCTAAGACCAAGAACAAGGCAGGAATACCCACACTCAACACGTCTATTCAACATTGTATTGGAGGTTCTATACAGTGCAAAAAACAAACAAGTAAATAAATACTATCCAGATTGGAAAGGAACATGTAAAACTGACTTTATTTGTAAATGGTATAATTATTTATACAAAAAATCTAATACAGGGGCACCTGGGTGGCTCAGTCGGTTAAGCAGCCGACTTCAGCTCAGGTCATGATTTCGTGGTCCGTGAGTTCGAGCCCCGCGTTGGGCTCTGTGATGACAGCTCACAGCCTGGAGCCTGTTTCAGATTCTGTGTCTCCCTCTCTCTGACCCTCCCCTGTTCATGCTCTGTCTCTCTCTGTCTCAAAAATAAATAAACGTTAAAAAAAATTTAAAAAAAAATCTAATACAGCCTACAAAAAAAAAATTCTACTAGAAATAATGAGTTTAGCAAGTTTGCAGAACACAAAGTCAGTATAGAATCAATTGTATTTCAGATGGCAGTTCAAAATGGTGGCTTAGGAAGAGCCTGAATTTGCCTTCTTCCACAGACATACCAGATCTAAATCTAAATATAGAGCAATTCTTGCAGAAAAAGAACTGAGAACTGACTGAACAGCTTCTGCACAAAAAATGATAGGGGGAACCACATACATAAGAGTAGGAGAGACAGAGACATAGTAACCACAGGAACACCACTCCCAGTGTGATAACTTGACAAACGAAGGGATGTCACGGAGGGGCCCCTGCATAGACTCGCCAATACTGGGCACAGCAAAACAAAACAAAACAATACAAAACAAAACATAGCTGTTAACCCACTAGTAACCCTAAGGCATCCACCAAATAGGCAGGGAACTTCTGGAACTCTCTGGGGTCAGAGGTGCCAGCAAGCACATTTTATATGCCCCCTCCAGCTTCATAGTGCAGATGGGAGCAGGGTCCAGGCACTCTAGTCAACTTAGTAGGGCAGCCCTAGCAAGTCCCAGGTTCCTAGCCCACAACAATTCCAGCTGTCCCCTGAAGGTGCCCACCACAGCCCCAGCTGTCCTGCCAAGGTAACCCCAGAGCAGCACATTCCTGGCCCATGTCTGCTCCACTCCAACCAGCCAAAGCTGCCAGACATACCAGTCTACACAGAGGATGCTCCTAACTCATGGCCACTTCTTTAAGACTAAAAGAGGGAGGTAGCTATTCTAATTCACAGGATGGACACACACACACACACACACACACACACACACACACACACACACACAAACAAGAGGAGGAGACACAGGAGTATGTTCCAGACAAAAGAAGATAAAATCCTGGGGTGGGGGAGGGGGGACCTTAATGAAACAGAGATAAGTAATTTACCTGATAAAGAGTTCAAAGTAATGGTCATAAAGACACTCACTGAACTCAAGAATGAACAAACTTCAACACAGAGTTAGAAAATATAGGAACCAAAGCTGAAGAATAACTGAAATGATATAGAAGAACAGATCAGCATCTGGCAGAGTAGAAACTACCTAATCAGAACAGCAAAAAGAAAAAAGAATTTTAATTTTTTACATATATTTAAAAAAAATTTTTAATGTTTATTTTTGAGAAAGAGAGAGAGAAAGAGAGAGAGAGCACGAGTAAGGGAGGGATAGATAGAGAGAGGTAGACACAGAATCCGAAGCAGGCTCCAGGCTCCTAGCTGTCAGCACAGAGCCCGAGGCAGGGCTCGAACTCATGAACTGTGAGATCATGATGTGAACCGAAGTTGGGTGCTTAACCGACTGAGCCACTCAGGCGCCCCAAGAAAGAAGAATTTTAAAAAATGAGGGTGGATTTAGAGACATCTAGGAAAATATCAAGTATACAAATATTCACATTATAGGGGCCCCAGAAGGAGAAGAGAGAGAGAAAGGGGCAGAAAACTTATTTGAGGAATTGATGGCTGAAAACTTCCCTAACCTGGGGAAAGAAACAGACATCCAGGTCCAAGAATCAAAGAATCCCAAACCAGATGAACCCAAAGAGACCCAAGCCAAGACATTATAATTAAAAAAAAAGCAAAAGTTGGGGTGACTGGATGGCTTAGTCAGTTATCACTACCTAACTTCTTTATAAAGCAACAACAATCAAGACAGTGTAGGGGCACCTGGGTGGTTCAGTTGGTTGGGTGTCAGCTCTTGATTTTGGCTCAGGTCATGATCCCAGGGTCGTGGGATTGAGCCTCGAGTCGGGCTCTGAGCTGAGCATGGAGCCTGTTTACAATACCCTCTCCCCCTCCCCTGCTCACATGCACATGTGCTCTCTCTCCCAAATTAAAAAAAAAAAAAAAAAAAGGCAGGGTGGGGTTGGCATCAATAGAATATATATAAAGATACAGAAGCCATCAGTGGAGAAACAATAGCTTTCTTCAAATGCAGTGTGTGAATGACTACATGTCTATAGGTAAAATAATAAAACTTGACCTAGACCTTCTATCTATATTTCATACCATATACAAAAATTTCAAAAAGGATCATAGATGTGAATATAAGACTATTTTCCCCTAGTAATACTTTACCTAAAATTAACTACAATTTGTTAGTGCTGCCAATTAAATATTCTTGCTTGCGTGTTTTCAGATACAATTACTGAGCTAATACGACTTCCAGGTGTCTTCCTATTCTAAGTTCTTAAAGAGCTCTTTCATTGCTGTTATCTCAACAAGATTCCATCAATTCCTTTAACAACAGTGTAATCTGAAACATATCAAAAGATAATTCTAAAAATGATTATGAAAAATTTGGAGGTTTTTACCGATTGCTGTTTCTGGCATTGCAAAGAGAGACTTCTCAGTAGCCACTCGGAATTGCCCATGAACTGAGACACCAACTCCCTAGGAAAATAAGGCAAAAAGTTGTTTTAAAATGCTGAAAAACAGGGGCGCCTGGGTGGCGCAGTCGGTTAAGCGTCCGACTTCAGCCAGGTCACGATCTCGCGGTCCGTGAGTTCGAGCCCCGCGTCCGGCTCTGGGCTGATGGCTCGGAGCCTGGAGCCTGTTTCCGATTCTGTGTCTCCCTCTCTCTCTGCCCCTCCCCCGTTCATGCTCTGTCTCTGTCCCAAAAATAAAATTAAAAAAAAAGTTGAAAAAAAAATGCTGAAAAACAAACAAACATAGACTCATATACACACAAACATTTTAAACCAAGTAAATTATATTCCACAAGAATTTCTTTTAGGGGATACACTGGAGGAAAACCCTGAAACACATAATTTCAGGAGAACTTACTGGACAAAAAACATATGGGTAGCCGTGATATGTGGAATAGATTTGTTTTCAATCAGTATTTTTTGCTATGTTTCATGCCCTCTTCCCCCATTCCCTCTCATTTCAAATCAGATACAGCATTACAGAACAGTGACTCTTCCCAGAACCACTGAGTGCTGCTGTTGGCGGGACCATTCATCAGAGGAGCACAAGTTATTCTAGCTCATTTCAATAGCTTTAAATAGAATATTAACACATTTTATTCATTCACCTATTTCATGGTTTCATTTATTGTGTATTTCAGAATATTGGCAACACTGTTTTTATTAGATACAACATTTAACGGCCAACTATACAACTTCTAAAAAATGATTACTGAACACAAGTTTTAGAAAATAAGATCTGGCCGAAAGTCTCTGACTTGTTGAATGTCACTGAAAAGGGAAAACTTAATAGTCATCTTTGAATAAACATATTTGAAAAAACATATTTGAATACAATGAAATAAGAGGTACACGTGTAATGACTAAGTATCCAGTTCATGTCAGTGCTCACACTATACACATTTCCTATGTTGTGTTCTTTTTACATTATTCAGAATTTCTGTTAGATTGTTTTAGTTCTTCTCATTCTTGGTTCTTTTTAACCAGTGTACTCTTCATCATCACAGTATTAAAGGAGTTAAAACATATAAAGTATGTGGAACAATGCCAGGCACTTAAGAGTTCTATAAGCATTAACTAAACAGAAAGGACCTCACCTCTATCTGGTTCTTCTAATCTTTCATTACAATTTCTTCAACTCTTTGAAGTGTTTTCATACTCAGTTTTAAGAAAACACTCAAAAACACAAGCAATTTCTTATAAATTTTATGTTCTGTATGCTAAGCTTAAATTTTAGAAAACCATGCAAATAAACACGGAAGTGAATATAATTCTTCAGCCACCACCTACATCTTTTGGTGTCAACATTTATAAGTTAAATCTACAATGTTCGATACTCTTTGTACAGGTAAATATCATCATTATAGGTATTCTATCATGACACAGTCAACTGACAACACTGACCCAAATTCAATTGTATGTATTCCAAGATCACAATCTTACAAATTTTAATGAAAATAGAACATTACTAGTTTCATTAATAATTTATTATACTATTTTAAAAGTCCTTGCTTTATATTCTACTCCCCACTTCAGTTTATCAAATTGTAGATGAAAGTTATCAGTGTTCAGGAATGTCTTGCTAAGAACTTAGAGTTGGAATGGACTCCCAGTTTTTGGACTTTGTTCTTTTGAGTACCCAGACTCAGAACTGCCTTCCTCTCGGGTTGCACAGTAGGTAGATCTCCAGGCCTCACTGACTGACCCTGTTTCAAACCATACTCCTCTGGTTATTGCCTCCTACCTCTTTTAATTAACCCTGAATTCCACAAATAGCAAGGACTATATCCCCCTTTATTAAATCTGACCATAGCCCCAATCCTAGTCTCCTCTCTTTTTTCCAGATAAAGTTATTAATTTGGTATGTAACCCTTCAGATTTTTTCCCTGTGTATCTCTAACACATATTTGAACAAACATGAATATTTATATGAGACACACATACACTTCAAACTGATCCATGGCATGCAAGGTATACATAGTATGGCCCAGCTCACCTCTGACCTCATCTCCCATCACACTTGCTGTGCTTATTCCACCAGCCACAGGGCCTTCATGCCATTCCTCCAAAATTCCAAGCCTTTACAATTTCAATTAATCATATAATTTTAAAGTGAGGAAAACATACTAAAGAAGAATACTACCTGCCCCATTGCTGCCCTTTCTCTATGGGAAACTTCTCTGCCCAGAGACTTTGCCCTTCCCTGAGCGGTGGCTGAACTAGGGATGGGCACCCAATGGAGGCACCTTACACCAGAACTGGAAGGCCCATGGAGCAAAGGGCGAGAAAGAAAAGTGCATTAGACAAGATTCTCACTGTCAGGTATTTAAACTAAAAAATGGTGGGCAGCTGTGAGTTGATGACAGCCAAAGCTTAAAGGTCATTTGAAATTTGAGCCGAAGACATGTGAGCCAAGTTAAAGCAGAAACTACATAGGGTGAAGACAAATAAATGGAGCAGGCTGCATGCAGCCTGTACAGCACAGAGAACAAAGCAAACATACAAAAAGCAGCAGAGACGGTTGGAGAAAAAAAATGACAAACATACTACTTAAATTCGCCTCAAGTCCACACTTGCAGTTCAAGTAGCTACGCTACAGATTTTGTCTATGGATTCCTGTGTAATCACTGTGCTTGTCTAATAACTGCTCCATTCTCTTTTCTGCATCTGTTTCATTAAGTCCATGTTTTCAATTAAAAAAGTCTCTCACCACATTTTTGATTAGAACCAGATCTACATCCTGTCAAGCTTCAGCATCACACAGTATAAGCTGCCTTGTGCCCTTTTTCCTGCTAACAGAGCTCATCCCTGACTAGTCATTTCCATTCTATCTCCTGAAATCCTCCTTACTTGGCAAGAGAACCACCTAACAGCCCAACTTCTCTATACAGGGCCTTATCTACCTCTTGATATCAATAGAGAAAGAAATTTATGAGCCCCATATTCTTTGATCTAGAAACTACAGATCCTGTACTCATTGATTCAGTGCTTTATCTTGTTGTTACATGATACCTTTTGTTTCACCCATAGCTGAAAAAACAATGAATGAAATCAAACACTTCAAGATTTTAGAAAAAATTAATAATGACAAGCTTTCAGAATAAGAGATCCTTGCCATAAGTACCATTAAGAGCCAATTTTAAAAGCCTTTCAATTAAGAGGAAAGCTGGGAAAATGCAAGCCACCTCACTTGGAGATACTACAAATATAAATGCTGATCAATGTTCAAAGGGATAAAGCAACTACATGGCAGATTCATATCTAAATTTTGTATCTTATATAAAAGAATCCATTATAGGTTGTTTACAATAAGCTCTCCCTTGAATCTTTAAAAATTTACTGTTATATACTTTTTAAACTCCTTTGCTAGACTAAAAAGGCTTCAAAGTCTTCAAATTTTATTGGATTAATGGTTATACTGTACAGATTTATTCCCCAAATGTCAGATATCATTCTTATTCCTGACTCTTCTCAAATACTCCCCCCTGCATCCTTCCAAACCCACTAGTTAAATCTCATTTCATCTAACTGGATTGTATCTGTAGCATTTGGCAGAGCTGTTTAGTCCCTACATCAGGAAACACTTAACTTGACTTTGAGATACCATCACTCTCCTGGTTTTCCTTGTATCTCATTAATTGTTCTTGTTCTTCTCCTTGACACCAAAATGCTGATCTGCCCTCCTCCCCGGGGCGGCCCGCCCCCCCCCGCCATGATCAGATGTCTTTCCTCTGTTCCACTTCACCTGTACTCTCTTCTTTCTACATTTGTTCCCTAGGTGATCTCTTCCAAGAGCCCCAGGAATTTAAGCACCATAACACTAATGACTTAAATTATTTCCCCATCCTGATTTCTCTAGAATTGCATACCTAGCCACCTATTTCACATCTCCATTTGAAGCTCTAGTATTTTTCTCAATGTTCATATATCAGAAATAAATCTCTTGATTTATTGAGAAATAAATCTCCTCAAATGAGTGGCTCCCTCAGTAAATAGCACCACCATTCACCCAGCTGGTCAGGCCAAAAACCTCAGCATCATCCTCTTTCTTTCTGATCTCCCAATCTCATCTATGAACCTGTCTAGATAGTTCTTACCTCAAAATATACTTTGGATCAGGCCACGGTTCACATCTCCACTGTAACAGCCCAAGTTGAAGTCACTACTATCTCTGCCTGGGCTAGTCTTGCTTCTGTTCTTGCCACAATCCATTCTCTACCCAGCAGCCAAGGAAGCTTATTAAATAAATGTAAATCAGTTAAAGTTTTCTCCTGCCCAAAATTCTCCAGTGACTTCCCATCACATTAAAGTATTACCAAATTTCCTCCTCATGGCCAATAAGGCTCTATGTGATTTGGTCCCTTTTTAGCTCCCTCATCTTAGAGTTTTACCATTTTCCACATTCCTCACTTTCATTCAGGTCAGGCACACTGGCGTGTTTTTTTTTTAATAACTTTCTTGACATAGAATACACATTCAAAAGTATACAAATAGTAACAAATGATAAGTATACAGGTCCAGTGCGTTATCCCAAAGTGAACACACCCAAGTAATGAAAATGCAGATAAAAATTATCAGAAATTATTTTATGCACTCTGTCAACTCATTATTCCTTCTATCCTTCAGGCAACTACTATCCTTCCAACAAAATAAGATTTATGTTTTCTGGTTTTATATTGATATAAATAGGATCATAGAGTATATACTATTTATCTTTTAGTCAACATTCTGTGAGATTCGTTCATGTTGTGTGTAGCAATTTTTTTTCATTGTACAGCAGTCCTTTGTATGAATAATTTACTGATCTATTCTATAAATAGCCAGTTAGGTTTTCTAGTTTGGGACTATTGCAAATAATGATTCGATGCCATTCTTATGCATATCTTTTGGTGCATAAGTGCATACATTTTGATGGGGTATATATACCAGGGAGTAAAACTACTGCGTCAAAGGACACTAATTCAA